TGGCATCTGCAATAGCTTTCTTTACCTGAGTAAAAGCATGTCGAGCAGACGTGTCGAGTTCGATAGCCTTGTTGTTCCCTCGAAGGAGATCGGTTAATGGCTGAATTAGAGAAGCACAATTAGGAATAAAACGTCGGTAATAACTTACCAAGCCGTTAAAAGTGCGAAGGCATTTTACTGTCTTTGGCTCCGGAAAGTTCAGTATTGCTTCGACTTTAGTAGCCAGTGGGCGAATGCCCTGACAGTCAATAGTGTGACCCAGAAAATCGAGTGAGTCAACACCTATCTGACACTTCTGTATATTGATGGTAACACCATGTTGGCGTAACCTTTCAAATGCCAAGTCCAAGTGTCTAAGGTGAGTTTCCTTATCTGGACTGGCAATGAGGCAGTCGTCTAAGTATGCGTATACAAAGTCGAGACCGCGAAATACTTCGTTGATGAAGCGTTGGAATGTTTGGGCCGCATTCCGGAGGCCGAATGGCATACGTAGAAATTCGAAAAGTCCGAAAGGCGTAATGATAGCCGTTTTCGGGATATCTTCCGTTGCCATCGGGATTTGGTTATATGCTTTAACCAAGTCGATTTTGGAGAATATAGATGCTCCAGATAATGTTGCCGTCAAGTCGTGTATGTGAGGCAAAGGGTAGCAATCAGGAGTTGTTTTGGCGTTCACTCGCCGGTAATCACCAGTGGGTCGCCAATCGTTGCTATCCTTTTTCGGTACCATATGCAACGGGGATGCCCATGGACTATTCGATGGACGAATGATGCCAAGGGTGAGCATATGATCGAATTCGTTTCTGGCAATTCTCAGTTTATCAGGGGCCAGTCGTCGTGCTTTAGATGTCACGGGCTGTCCTGAGGTTATGATGTGGTGCATAACATTGCTGGTTATGCACGGGAGATCGTTAGATGGGCAATTCAGTTCCGGATATTTGTCAACAATCGGTTGAAAAGTTGGATCGAGGATTGCTTTCATCTTAACGATTGACAAGCTGGGGCCACTGTAAGTTATGCCTTTGATAGACAAACTAGTAGTGTTGTCAATTAATCGTTTACGGCGGACGTCTACGAGCAAATCATGATGATTAAGTAGGTCCGTGCCAATGATGGGCATTGTGACGTCAGCGATTAGGAAAATCCACCGAATAGGTTTGCGTAAACCTACGTTCAGATAGACGTATTTCCGACCATAGGTTGCAATTGGTTTTCCATTTGCAGCCTGTAGGTTGAAGTTAGGATCCTTCTGTCGATCTGCTGCTGTAGCAGGAAGGACGCTGACTTCGGCGCCTGTGTCGACTAGATATCTAGTCTGGCTAATTACATCATGGATGTAAAGTAAGCGGCTAGTGCCACCGGCGACGGTTGCCGCTAACGCGTGCCGGCGGGATAGTTTCCCACAGACTTGGAGGCTTTGCCGAAATCACAAGGTTTTCGACAACATTTCGCTTCCTTGCCATAGGTGTTGTGATACCAACACCAGTCAGGATTTTTGAGAGAGCGTGTGTTGGACTTAGATCGTCCACGTGCGTTTTGCCATTGAGGGGATTTAGAACGACGATAGGAATTGCTAGGCTTGTTTGACCTCAGCATCTGCTGGACGGAGTTGATTAACTCTATCATTGCAGAATCCTTCTTCGAAGTCTGTTCGGTAACAGAGTATACTTCAGTAACTGGTCGTTTCGTTATCTCTAGAATTCTATCTGCAGAGACAGCTAAATCATCTATGAGAACACCTTGAAGTGTCACAAGTACAGTCTGAACTGACTGTGGCAGTTTGGATAAAAATAGTTCTCTAAACAGTCCTTCATCGAACTGACTTTGGCTAATGATCTCTTTCATTCTTGCCAGCATGCTCACGGCTGACTGATCTGCTAACTCGATGTTACGAAATAACTCATCCAGACGTTGTTGATCTGTGAGAACGTTCCTCTTGAGTATGGATGCTTTTAGCAACTCGTACGAGTTACTTACCGACATCTGCAGAGTTACGCACCTGCTGAATTCCCGCGGTAGGGCGTGAATAACTGCAAGGAACTGTGAACGTTGATCAGTTATGCCATGTTCACAAAAATCAGACTCAGCAATCTGAAACCACGTTTCAGCATTATCTGGCCAAAATGGTACTAGCTGAATTGTTTTGGCGGTTGAGCGAATCTGAATAACCTTGGGGCTAGGATCACTCATGACGAAAAGTATGCCGATAACAATATAGTACAAGAATGAACACAAAAAGGAACGAACTCACCGGGTTTATCTGCGTGTGAATTGAAGATGAAGTTCGAGGTTGGGCTCACCAGTTTAGGGGAGCTGTAGGTATCGAACGTTCGCGAGTTGTACGGATTATACTAACGCAAGATCTTATACCAACAACCACTATAGTGTTCGTTCTTCGAGTACCAAATGGTAAAGCAAAAGACCAGATTTTGTCGTCCAAATACGATATATATTTTGGGACCAAATCGCGGGTAGGAATGAATGCTTAGCTAGCTAGTAATCGTGCACGCACGTGACACGACGGAGCACCAAATGGCGGGGATGCTTGACCGTAAGCCTTCAGCTAAACAAGTCGACTTAAACAGTGATGGTCAGCATCCAATGTTGAGTGATGATTGCTGTGGTTAATAATTTTGGGGGATTATTTACCGCTACAGTTCAATTATTGTACAAGCAATTGGAACGGGTTTTTTTAATGTTAAATTGTAAACCCTTCACTGAGATCACCATCGAAGTTGAGCGACAACCCAAACTTCGTTCAGTTTCCTGCTGATAGTTATAGTCAACCAGTGAACAGCGTATACCTGGGTGAGTGCTATGCCGCCACGTGATTGAACGCTATTTCAGGAAGAGAAGAAAATTCCGGGAGGCTGCAAAATGGTATAAAATGCAATTATGAATAATACGTTATTGGAAGTATATTTACAAGATAAATACAAGAAGAAGAAGCTATATAGTACTTGAAATGATAGTATACATTTACAATGTTTAATGCTAACCATATTGGTCTAAGCATGGAAACTACCACGTTTCCGATGAAAATATAGCTTTGTTCAAACATTGGTGTTGCTATGTTTTTAATCAAAGCAACCAGACTTAAAGCAAGCAACAAATATGAACAAAGACCGGATAGGGTGTAATAGTGCGTAAATAAATGATTATTGTGAGGTAGGTAAGTGATATTTAAGTGAGGAGTGAATTCAAAGATCTGGAAAATTCGAAGCCGTAGAACAAGCTGACCTGTAAGATGCCTCACGAATTTCTGTAGGGGCCAACGGGTAGCATCTTGACAAGAAGCTGAACAGGCTTGTAGATGGTAGGAGCAAAAGTACTTTTTAATAATTTATATATAGGTAGTGGAAAATTCTAACTGACTTAGTAGAATTCACAATGTTTTGAGTTAATAAAATTTTGTTGGGAATAAATATTCCCCTAACATAGTTTCTGTTGCGAAACCGTGTCAACTTTTATTAAACCACTGGAAATAAACACCAAGTGATTAATGCATTTTTCTTCCGAGTATTCTGATTCTAAGATTTACTACTGATGTATTTTTGAAAGAGGTCTAGCGGTCTTCAGTCTAATCTCGCTTCATTGACAACACAGGCAAACTTCCTTCAAGTTTCAAACAAGCAAGAAACAGATAGCTATTCTGTGCACGCTGATTTTATTTATGCTTCAACTGGGGCTTATCAGTGATGAAAGATGAAGAAATTTAGGATAATTTAAAATCAAGCGAAATTTTTAATGCTATCATAAGTAAATATGTAAACCCGTCTATCGAATAGCTTTTGCTTGCGTACAACCCTTATTATTACTTTTTTGTTGAGGGTCCAGACTAATGTTTAATTCTCGAGCTGTCAAAAAATGCATGTTGCTGCCCTACAGATTGGAGCGATTCACAATTGTAACCACTACCACATCTGCTGATCAGCATGCGCCACCCTCCCTCCTTTTTTGATGTTAAGCTCTGAGATTTTTTGCAAACTGTAGTTGCTTTATTGCATTGCTTCAAGCCCATTCCAATCACACAGTATGCTGCACATTAATAGCTTTCATGACAGGCGCTTCTCATTAGGTCACCAGGTACATCGATACCTGAGGACATTCTTAGCAATATCACTGTTTATACATGCATACTTATATACAAGTATTTTTATAAACGCCTAGGAAATTGCATTTAAGAAGTATAAAGTATAGAAGTAGCTAGTATTACAACAACTAAGTTGTAGTCTATTTAGCAGAGTAAAATGTGTAGTGGAACAATCAGTGATAAAATTATTTATAATGATCCTAAAGAAAACAGCCGGTTAATAGAGCTAGTTATGCTAAATTTCCACGACCAATTTCATACGGTTCGCATTAGACATTGCAAAGTAACCCTTCAACTTATATAGTGTTAAAAAATACTGCGAAACATTATAAAAATTATACGTTATAGAAAAGTATATGAGGAAAGGTTTTATTGGCTGAGTAAAGTCATTTAGACACAAAAAATAGCATTGTTATTAACTGTATATACATATGTAAAATATCAAAAGGTGTGGTTGCTAATATAATTGTTTCCAGAAATACTTATATTAACATAACTTATTGAAGACTATACGGAAAGGAAAATCAGTAGATTAGTTAAACGTTCGCTGCATAAGAAGTAGAGTCGAGTTATGTGTAACTGACCAAACTGAAGACTGGATCGGCTTTCATTTACCATTTTACCAACAGTTGTGGTCTTTTAGACAAGCTAGGGTGGACATGTTAATGTGTCTTTCTAGGCTCCGTTTGAACCCATCGGGGTTTTCACAACATCTAATTTCAGGTAGTAGTTGGTTACAAAGAGTGAAATATTTAATGGTGAAAAAGTTTGCCCTAATGGATTTTCTGTGGGTAGCCACCTTGACAAGGTAATCGTGGTTTCGCAGCTGATAAGATTTAATATTTTCCCACGTTATGGATGAGTTAACACTGGGACGAGACCGTTGATGGCCTCCGAGACATCTCACCTTACTTCGTTTGGCTGATTGTTCACTATTAGCGAATGGTGGCTTTGGGGCCACAGCTTCTGTCATGAGCTCAAAATTGGTTTTAATATAAGAATGTTAGGTAGGAGTGCTACTACTTGGTCACTGTTACCTAGAGGTGGTTTCAATTCCATATAGTTTACCAGCATTATGTCGCTGGCAAGGAGATAATCCAGCTGTGATGGTTTGCTGTCTGGTTACCAGCTTGTGTCTTCCTCGGTTGTTTCGTGGAATCTGGGCTTCATGGTTGTACGTCGCAATTCTCCGCCCAAAAATCTCTATAGGAATTGCGCTCACTGGAACCGAATGAAGGAATATTGAAGGCACCAAAGTTAACTACCAGGCCGATATGTTAAGCACGCCTCCAGTTCGTCCTTAGTTGTGCATCTCTAAACTGTATCTGCGAGTTCAATCACTTGCTGAGTAAAGCTGACTGATGATCGCCACAGCTGAACTCCTCTGCAGCTCACTTACTCGATTTCGCTGGAACTGGGCTTGCAACATCCTTTTGTGGTACTTCGTTGTTCTCAGAAACAACTTCCGTCGCTTTGTCATCCGGTAGCATCAGGATTTTTGTATATTGTTCCTCCTTTGTCGTTGCAGAGACCAAGAGCCTCCGTCACAGCATCGTATACTACTGCTCGCATTCTCTTTAGCAGTGGGCCATGTTCGTAAAATGTCGCTTATATTTTGTAAGAACCCGAAATTCACATCCATATGCTGTACTGAGTCGAGAGTGGATAGCTTCCATGGGTGATGTAGCCTTAACACGCCGGATACCAAGACATAATTCGATTCCGGCTATGCAGATAGGCACTACCTACACCATCATTTACCTCTTCTGCCGTGCAAAGGTGAACATAGTCACTGATTAAGTCCTTTATTGTCCCTCGCAAGATGCCTCCAGTATAGCCTACGATCTGTTTGGTTTCAATCAGTAGTCCAACGATCGGCTAGCGGCCACCATTCATATTGACAGCATGACGTATGGCTTCCTTGGCTGAGTTAAGGGTGACTCTTACTGGTGGGGATTTCCCGTTACACAGCATATTTCCCTCTTAAGTTTGATTCATTTGGCCTGGGGGTAACCTAATCCAAGTCTGCTGAGAAGCGCTTCCCACTACCTTTCATCAGAGTCATTACCAGCCAAATGGGCTGTTATTACACGAAGGGACATTTATGATTATCACCGCCATCCCCAGTTGTCCCTATCACCTAACTGTTACAGATCCTCACCGCGAGAAGACAAGCTTTCAGCGTTCTGCTTTCAACAACGGCTAAAGGCGATCGGCAGTGATCTGGTAGCACGTTAACCACTCCCAGTGACATTGTTTTCTTTGATCGGACATTAGTAAATAGTGTGGTGTGTCTAGTCGTTTATGTGGTGCAGAGTGAATTCTATCGGTCAGCTTTGCAATGTGGCCACCACTCTGTGTAGCTCTCCATTGATTTAGTGATATTAGAAAATCGGCGGCAATCAGCAGGAAGACTGGTTTGCCATAGTTTTCGTGCTAGTTGGCGCTCACCAATCAGCAAGGTGTATCTGTAACGATGAAGGAACTCATGTCACCTCTGAGATCCGAACCCGCGTCAGGTGGTGAGTACAGCAGTCGGAGACGTTACCACCAAGCTATTCTGGCTCACGATTGCCCCCCTGTAGGATTGTAATGATTATTTGATTGGACACTAGTGACTTGTGTGATGTATCTAGGCATTTGCGTTTGGCGCAGATTGAATTCTGTCAGTCAGATTTGCAATGTGCCAACTAGCAAGAAACCAAGGCTCCAAGGTTTCCTGCCGATTGCCTCCAGCCGTGTGATATCATCAACACACTGTTTTCTGCATGATAATAATAATAATTTATATTTTCATATAAACATAAATTTACATGAAAATGCATGCCATTTTTACAGGCACGATCAAGTATGATACAATGACAAATAGTAGATTGTCTACAAGTTAATAACGTTTGAACGGCTAAATATTTGATATATATATAAATACACTCATTGTCTGACCCATGTCGTATCATTATTGAATTAAACAGTAGTTCTCCAGGTTGCGCAGTAAAATCGACTTCGTTTCGTTTTCAACCCGTAGTTGTAGGCATGCGATAGCCAACCAATACTGAGGTAAGTACAACGTTTACAAGGGATAGTAAGATTATCACTTTTTTGATGTTTCCAAGGTCAAGTGTATGCAGGTATCATTGGATGCGGCCGTCATTGATTGATTGTCAACGTTTCGGCAATCCTTGTCTTCTTTCAGAAGAGTCTTTCGGCCTTAAGCCTAGATGTTGCATTTCTTAGCCCAGCTGGTACGGCAGGGTTAACACAACACGTTGAGTACACGTACCCAAACCATGGGTAGGAATTATGTTACATAAATCCATAGAGAATATGTGGGAGGGTTATGTCACAGCTGCTGTGCAGCCACTCCGTTGAGAAGTTGCATCTAGGAGCTGCATCACTTTTCGTGGCTACACACATGTGTCACTTATGCCACCTGACAGCCTTTCACCTTTTTTGAGGTAATTGCGTCTACAACTTTGCACTAATTCTTTGTGTGATATACCATCACTCTGTTCAGATGGAGTAGAACACGGATATGCCATCTCTGCAATCCTTTTCAAAGGGTCATTTGGTGGGGATATAGAGGGATGTATTTTTGAAATACTGTTATTCCTAACTCAACCAAGGAACATATCTTGATATTTTACCCAGCCACCCTAGTCACTATAGAAAAAGTTTGGGTATAGTGGCCAAGATTTAAGGATTATTATTCCCTTGAGTTCCGAGCGGAACATAGGGCCTCTACAACACATCTATATTTTGTCCTACCTTTTGGCATCCTCTTCATCTTGGACCACGATTACCCGAACTCTGTAATCTCCTCCTCAAAAGATCCCCTCCATGTCATCCCCTCACTGACTCCCCACTCGTCGCTTCCCATTTGGATTCCACTCGAGGACTTGACGCGCGATGTAATTCGACGGTCTCCTTAACCTTTGCCCGATCTATCTACATTTTCTCCTAGATGTATCCTGAACGATCGGCTCTTGGTTGGTTTGTTGCCAGAATGTCTTGTCGCCAATTTTTTATTACTGGCTATTTGATCTTCAGTGTGGAACCAGCGAAGGCAGCTGTTGATGAAAGTCTGTAACTCGTTTGATATCCTTTTCGTTAAACACAGTGCAAGCTTCTGACTGACTTGATATTGGTGTTGGGGAAACGAATCTTCTTCCTTATGTTGAGTGCAGAAGATTTCCAAACTAGTTTCAGGTTGATGAAGGTCTATCTTGACTTTCCGATTCTGGCTGGCTGGCTTTGACACCCTCATCCGTTTCGCCCGCCAGCAGTTCATATGATGCTTCCTAGATAAGTGGAGGAAGTATTCTCTGCCGAATCTCTCGATTTGATGGTGATAGGTTGTTGTTGTTGCTGTTGGTTGGCTATCTTCATCACTTTCATCTTCTCTATATTCACCTGGGGTCCTGTCTCCGCTGCTGCTTCTTCGGCCAGTTTGTTGGTTTTCGTCTGCAAGCCTTCTAGTTTGTGTGAAATTAGACGAATGTCATCTGAGGAATTCAGATCCCCTAGAGTCTTCTTATCGGTGGTCCAGCGTATTCCTGTCTCCTCGCTCCTATTGCACAGTCTGACGCATAATCCTCCAATCCACCACAATTAGGAATATCACTGGTGACAATAGACAAACAGCCTTCTCTTATTCCTGTGTTTACTTCGACCGCCTCATTGAGCTTCCCGTTATGGATAACTCGACAAGTTTCACTGACATATAGCTGTTGAATGAGGTTGGTAAGGACTTGTGTACGGCACACCGTAGATTTGAAGTAGTTTCCAAATTACTTCTCAGACAACGCTATCGAAGGCCTTTTCGAAGTCGATGTATTTGAGGTAGAGGTTTTATTGCCATTCTCTGCTTTGTTCGATGACGATACACAGGGCTGCAATTTGATCGGTATATGATTCGCCCTTCATGAATCCAGCTTGTTCCGAGAGGAGTTCTTTGGCCGGTTCATTTTTATTCTCTCCGGGATGATGCTAATTAGTTCTTTTTACTTGGTCTGGACAAGAGCATTATTCCATGCCAGTTCTTGCAAAAGCCTAGATTGCCCTTCTCTGGCAGCTTAACCTCGTCTAGTTGACTAGCTTGCTATTTTTCCAGACGGTTCCAATCCCGGGTAAAAAGGGAGGGTTGGGCGTGGGGATAGCGACTACATACCGACTACATACAGAGAAAATTCAGTTCACAAAAGCTAGATTTAAGCATTACTTGTGACTTATTCTCACTCCTCACATATGTAGTTAGATGTCTGAAATACGAAAGCTGAACTGAAACGTAGGTATATGTTGGACTATATTCGGTCGTGCGGTTACGCATCTTTTCGAATTTTCAATAAGTGACTCGAAAATCCTGGTTAAGTGATGGTTTGTGAAAAGTTTTGTCAAGATTAAAGCGGCAGGCCTGACGTTGCTACTGGATAACGTGGGCTTTCCTGAGCTAATCACATTCGTACTGCCAGTTGGTTTTCCAAAGAACATATTATCAAATTGAGCAGACAGACTGAAACGCACGTCAAAAATCGAACGTTTCAGAGAGTTGTTGGCCTCTTTGAAATTCCGGTTAGTTTGCCGTTAGTCTACATGTGGTCCATGGAGTTCAATAGAAGACCGTATCTGAGATTTAATAGTAGAAGCGTGTTTTTTCACCATAAAAACTTTATTCGTTGTCTGTTACATTCCTGATAGGGTTGTATAAATATATTGACTTCATCCTCCTGTCTTTTCTTTACCTCCAAATGGTTTCCGATCTTCGCACGTTCTGGATTTGAGAGTCGGACCCGTCGACTGCCGTAGATCTCATTAGTGAAGTAACAGGGTGTGCATTAATTAATATCGAAAGGAATATTAAGCTTCCATCAGTGTAGTGACTCTGTGTGTAAACTCAGTTGCTGTTGCTGTAGTACAGCATCAAGAAAGAAGGAAGCAGATTGTGCCTACGAGACTCAAGGTTCCAATCCAAACATC